TCCTCGGCCTCCTGTTTCTTCTGTGCTTCAATCTTTGCGGCCTCTTCTTCCTTGTTTCTCTTATCAGCTGCCTCCTGTTCTTTCTTTAGCTTTTCCTCCTCGGCCTTGGCCTTCTCCTCGGCCTCCTGTTTTTTCTGGGCTTCTAGCTTGACTGCTTCCTGTTCCTTTTTCTTCTGCTCGGCTGCCTCTCGTTCTGTCTGAAGCTTTTCCTCTTCGGCCTTGGCTTTCTCTTCAGCCTGTTTTTTGTTTTGCGCTTCTAATTGTGCGTCCTCTTCCTTTTCCTGTTTTTCGGCTGCGTCCTGTTCTCTCTTTAACTTTGCCCTCTCCACCTTGGCCTTTTCTTCCGGTTCCCGTTTCTTTTTAGCGTCTAATTCTGTGGCCTCTACTTGTTTATTTGCTTCTTCCTTTTTTAGTTCAGCCTTCACGGTCTTCGCATTTTCTTCTTGCTTTTGCCCTGATGCACTCTTGCTTTCTGTTGCGTCTTCGAAGTCAGATATTTCCTCCATTGACTTACACGTGTCCTGTTTTGATACTTCTGGTATGCTCTCTATTTCTGATAGTGTTTCAGGTTCGTCGTGTAGTTCTGAAGATGTATCGTCCCGTCTAGACGATACTAATACCCCAGAGTCGGCAAGAACTGCGATTCCTAACGAATCAGAGGCATTGCCAACATCCATCGTGTCAGGCCTTTTCTTTTGTAGTTTTAACGATGCCTCAGCTTCCATAGGGTCATTCTGTTCAATTACCCCAACCGCGCGCAGTGATGTATTCTTTTCTACGGCTTGTTCAAGCTCCTTGCTAGCAGATCCATCAATAGATACCCCATCGGCTTCAAGGGCTTGCTGGTCAATTATCACGGCTTGTTCTACAGGTTCTAAACCAACAACTTCGACAACGGAAGACTGCTTTGGCAGATTGCCGTTCGTAAAGTCAGTACCAGTGTGATCGAGTGTCTGCTGCTGCTCTATGATTGCTATTGTGTGACCAAGTACTTGTAGGGGTTCTGCAAGAGCCTTGAGTACATTGTCTGGGCTCAAATGCTTGACTTCGTCGTCGTCCAGCGGCGGCTCAACTGCCATTATTGCAACCTATGAACAAGAACAATAATGCAGTGTTAATAGTTTGAACCGCTATGCCGCTGGTTCAAGAATCTTTATATTCTTTACGGGAAATGACCCTGTCCCTCCTCATCCTCTCATTTTTTTTCTTAGGTCTTAGCTGATTTAGCTCTCTACTCTATTAAAAAGGCTGGTAGGAACGTTTAGCATATGGTTTTACACTGAATCCTAAGACCGGAAATAAATGGTAGGAGCGAAGTGGCGAACGGGACACAGCATTCTGGTATGAATTATCGTCATCTTTTCTTGTTGCCTCCCACACTGATAAACTAAGTGTTCAGCTGGTCAATAGTTGCAAGTGTGCGATCGCACGTGAAGGCGTTTTTTTTTTTTAAAAAAAAAAGAGTGAGCACGAGTTATTCACTGCTCCCGACCTCGGAAAACGCGGCTTGTTTGCAAGGTAGATTAATTATCTTTTGAGCACGCGTTATTCTGAATCAGCGGTGGGGAACCTTCAACAATTTGTGCTTGGGCTACTCCTGATCAGCCGCAGTCAGTCAATCGCTTTGGGTGAAAGTCCGAGCACTGCTTACAGACCAGCGCACAACGAAACAGTTAAAACTGCCAAGAACTGCCCAAACTTGCAGTTGTGCACTCACAATCGTTGACCGGACGAACACTCAGTTCTTCTCAGCCTATTCCACAAACGAGTTGCAGTAGCCTTTCGTTTGCTGAAATATGCGATAAGCTACTGGAAAAGGTGAAGGTGAGGTCCTGGTATAGTGATTTCTCACCCACTGAAAAGTACTTTACGTAACATTTTGCAAATGCTCTTCGTCACGTTCGCGTGCGTGTGCAAGATCGGCCATCGGCCATGTAGATTATTTAACGCAACATTTTTTATTAAAATTACTTTCAGGAACGAATCTACACAAATACTTTGCGTTGCAAAATTATTTTTGTTTATCGTAAGCATTGAGCTATGCTTGCCGATTATAATTAGTGCAATATTTGTCACGGTTTTTGGTCCATGCATCATTTGATTCATAGGCCACTCTTTTGTAACGATGGGAAAGTAAAAATTATGAATTTGACAACTGCACTGCAATGCCGAACAGTGTACGTGGAAGCACGCGCAGGAAAATGTGCACACTTCCCTGCGTGCACTTGCTAATAGCACACACTTTCCTGCGCCTATTTCCTGTAGATGGCACGTACGTTTTGAGTGCGAGCAGAAAAATGTGTACTATAGCATGTACACTCACAAGGGAAGGTTTTTGGGTGGTACACACCAATTTCGCTGGGCGCGATACATAATGTAGGAGACATATGTAGATTAAGATTGGCACCGGTTTTAGCTGCCCATACTATAGTTTTCGTTGGTTTTGGACAATTTTTAGTAAGAAAACACCATAAAAACAGCAAAAATGTGATCTTCAAATGCCTATATCTCCGGAACCGTTTGAGCTACACCGTCCAGATTTTGCACAGAAGTAGGCCGAGTTGGTAGCTAAATTGTTGTAAAGTCTACGTTTTTTCGAAAAACATCGAAGAAAATGTCACAAACTATGTGCACCTTCCATACTTGGATTTCGACTTGGATTTCGGACCATTTCAACAATTTTTTTCGACGCTTCCCATATTTTTAAACTATTAAGGTATCTATACGGACTACCTCTGTACCGCGAAATTGGTGTGTAACACCCAAAAACCTTCCCTTGTCAGAACTGTGTATACTTTGTCTGGCAGAGGGCAGGCCTCGTTTCTCCTTTGTGTATTGATGAATAACTTGAAAACTTACCTGAATCTCCTGGATAGGTTTGGCCAAACGCAGAAGCTGCTCTATTTTCTCCTCAGGAATGTCATCTCTTTTGTTTGCCTGTTCTAAATCGCCTAACTCAGCCAAACCAGTTCGTAGCTCTTGTATTGGGTTTGCGAGTGCCTGCAAAACTTGATGTTCTGAGGAAGTAGTTTGTACAGGAGATGGGATTTGTACCAGAGTTTCTTCGGCTACTGCTAGACATTCAGCAACATCTTTGACAGGCTTTGCTACAGCACTTAATCTTAATCCCTTTTGACTGCTATCCGACTCCTCAACGGTGCCTTGCAAAATTCTTTTCTCTTCAATTAGTGCCACGCTCGTGTTCAACTGCTCAATTGGCCGAATAATCGCTTGGAGCATTGTCAAATTAACAGCACCATCCTTTATCTGTTCAAGTACAACTTCTTGCTCGATTTCTTCCAAACCCTGATGAAGTTTTTTAACCTGCGATGCCAATTCTTGAACTTGGCTATATTTTACAGTATCGTGAGAAGCTAAAACTTCAATGACGTCTTTCATCACATTTTGTAAATCTTTGGCCGGTTCCTGGAGTGTCGCCAGCACAGTTGCCCGTGTCTTCTCTGGAATTTCGTCCACCGAGCTCTTCCGCACTTTATTGTCATTTAGTTTTTCTATCCTTTCTAGCTCGGTGTTCAAGTCAGCACTAGCACTGACTAATCGGGCGATAGCGGTTTCCGGAGCAACTGGGCTTCTATTTTCGTCTCTGTTTTTATCGTCTACGGAAGCCTCTTCTACAGGTGGTCGCAGACTTAGTTCGCAAATCGTCAATAAGAAATCTTTAAAAGATTTCTCGATATCTTCCAGAAGTTTATCTTCGGTATCCCATCTTTTCGTACCCTGTGTATCCTTCAGCGATTTTTTCAAAGCTGTGGATAGGGACGATGCCATTTGAACTGTGGAGGTGGTAAGCAAATTGTAATTCTGTTCATGGGGGAACTCTGATTTCGCTAATGTCTCGAGACTAATGACCATCTCCTTCAATGTTTTTGGTAATCCACTGTGAGCAACTGATGCCACCTCTTTGAGAAGGCACTCACGGGCATTTAATATGTCCTTACGTAATCTCTCTGAATGGGAGTTTATCGTAGCAAAATCATATTTTGTGCCTTGCGACTGCAGAGAATGAAACATATCTGAGAAGTCCTCAATAATCCTTGCAACACGCTCAGCCAAGTCACATCTCGAAAGAACTTTTCTCTGAATCTCTGTCTTCACCTTGTCAATTTCCTTCTTAAATTCTGCTATCGGCTCAAGAATAGATTTCAAGATAGTATTTTCGATCACTATAGGATTTTCCCCGATCTCTTTCTTTAAGACTGCATTTTCTTCTATAAATGTGACACTCCACGAAAGCTGCGAAAGGGGAGCAAGGATTTTGGCCACTTGACCACGTTCTTGGGACTTCGATTGAAAGCTTTCCTCTACGTCATTTATACAAGAGATCAGATTTTCCAGGGGTCGAAGTAAGGCGTCTATTCTATTTTTATCTTTTTCGACTTCCTTCATTCCAGTAACTGCTAAGTCTAACTCTACCAGTGGCTCCATCAGCTCTTGGAAAACCCTTGCTTCGTCAAAGTATGATTTTAAGTCTCGTTCTGGAGAGAGAATCTTACACATCTCCGACTTGACATCAGACAAAGATTTTTGAGCACAATCAACGAGCGAGGCGTGTTCAAGATCTGAAACGGCCATAATTGCCGTGTCTTCAAGGTTTTTAATTTCTAAGGCTTTACTTACAAACTCTGCAAATGGTTCAGCGAACTTCCTAGTAACTCCATACTGCATTTTCTTGTCGCCCTTCGGGCCGTGGCTTGAATCTTTTTCAAGAGTCTTGATTGCCACTTGTAGTTCGTGGAGAGGCACAACCAGTGAGGCCAGTTCGCCCAGAGATTCAATAGTTTGGTCCATGAGGTACTGCTCTACTTCTGATAATCTTTCTCGGAACTGAGACAACGCCTTTACGAGACCGTAATCTTCAGCCATTTCTGTGCTACTATCCCTCAAGGATGCATCTTCTTTAACCTTTTGAACAGATGTCTCAATAGCCTTAAGACAGTCAAACATCGGTGCTAGGACAGTTGGCTCCAAGGCATGTTTCCTGTTCTGCATTTCTTTTGGACCTGAAGGCGAAGCAATGCGTATCAATTTACTTACGGCTTGAAGGGTCGACTCAGCCATAGCTTTGGTTGACGTCTTTTCCATAGCCGTCTGAATCGTTTCTAGACTGCTGCTGAACTCATTTAAAGCACAAGGAAGAGGCTCCAATAATTTATAAAATTCGGAGTTTTCCTTTGCTTTTTCGTTTTGCAATCCATCAAACACGACTGCAACGGAATTTGACAGGGATTCCATCGCACCTATAATCAATTGAATGTTATCCATATCTAAAGTATTCACTTTCTTAATTTCCGCTTGAGATACTTTAATTGCGTCAAGAATTGAACCAAGACCAGTCATTATACAATCTTTTGTGGAGTTAGAAAAACCTGAATTACCAAAGCTATTAATCAACTCTGTCATCGTGCTCTCAAAATCTTGTAGTGGTTTATTTAAAATCTTCAAGGTCTTGAGAGGTTTAATTACCAAAACAGAAGACGGAGAAACCCGATCAGTTACGAAAAGATCTGATTTCGTACATGCTGTTACTTTAGAGACTGCACTGTTCGAATCAATAAGTAGCTTTTTAATCTTGTTCGCTTTACTCAATGCGCTCGCATTCTTTACGTCTTTAAGAAAAACATCAAAGCTATCACCCAATAGCGGTAAATTATGGCTCTGCATAACAGTGACGGTGTTAATGCTCTGCTCGAGAGCCATGAGAGGCGCCATAAGTTCTTGTAGAGTTTCATCTGAAAAGCTTGCTGATTTAATATCCGCCAGTACTTCCTGAATGACCTTCTGTATACCGCTTAATGGTTTTTGTAAAGTTCCGACGATAATCTTCTGAGGCTCGGCAACCGATCCACTCTGTACTTGCTGCTTGACCAGCTGGAGACCTTGCTCGAAGTGCTGAAGCGGCTGGAGGAGGGGCGTAAGGGCTTCTTGGATAGAGCCCTTTTCCACTGACTCTTGTGCCAGGCCAATTTCTTTCTCCAGGTCTTGTATGCTCTGTGTTGTATTTTCTACAAATGCACTAACGTTTTGCTCTGCAGCTTGTAGCTCAATGGCCTTGTTGATTGTTTGCAGTTTCTCCTTGAACGTTTCCAAGGGCTCAGATAGTGTGCCCAGCGCGACGGTGTCAATTTTCAGATCTTCTGGCTTGCTCAGGGTGTCCTTGACGACGCATTCAATGCTCTGCTGCAGGGCCAGGAGAGGCGCCATAAGTTGTTGTACCGATTCGTCCGGCATGCTTGTTGACTTAATTTCCGCCTGTATTTCCTGAATGCCCTTTTGAATCTCGCTCATTGGTTTTTGTAACGTTTCAACGATAATCTTTTGTGGCTCGGCAACCGATCCACTCTGTACTTGCTGCTTGACCAGCTGGAGACCTTGCTCGAAGTGCTGAAGCGGCTGGAGGAGGGGCGTAAGAGCTTCTTGGATAGAGCCCTTTTCCACTGACTCTTGTGCCAGGCCAATTTCTTTCTCCAGGTCTTGTATGCTTTGTGTTGTATTCTCCACAAACGCAGCAACGTTTAACTGAGCTTGTTTGTCTATAACATGTTTGTTTTGGAAAATGTCTTGTTCGGTTGTTTTTGTCACTTCCAGTATTTTGCACTTGACATTTGCTATTGTTGTTCTGAGGTTGCGTAAAGATGGTTCTAAATTTTCTAGAATATGATCTTGGATGATAATGGGTTTTTCTCCAGCCGCGGCTGCATGTTTTGCGGTTTCTTCGGTCATCAGGGTCGTCTGCTGCAGTTTTGTCATGGATTTTTGAAGCTCTTTGATGATTTCTATATCACTGTTTTGCGCTGAATTTACAAGAGACATGGCGATAGCCAGAGATTTATTTAGTTCGTGTAGAGGCTTGAAAACCTTATTGACAGCTTCATCGTACGGCCCTGTGTGGTCTTCTATCTGCGTTATGGCTGCGATAAGGCATTGCAGAGGAGACTCTAGAGTCTGCATTGTTTGTATTGCTCTTGTTGCCTCCGGATTGTTATTTCCAGAACCTGATGCCTGAGCAATGTCAGTCTTTATGCTCTCTATATGGTCTGTTACTTCCTGCACAAGGGGTGCGTGCGTTACTGCAACGATTTTCAATGCCTCTGTTTCTTTTGCTTTAGATAATAGTTTTTCAAACTTTTCCACTGGTTTAATTATTGCCCTGATGATGGTTTCTTTTATTGTTTCAGGTGGGTCTCCCCTTTCTGCCTTACGCATGCAGTCTTCCTCTATCGTCTGCAAACAGAGTTCGAATTCTACAACCGGTTTTAAGAACTCAACTGCTATGTCCATGCCACTTTTTTGTATGGTGTCCAGGTCTGTTTTGGCAATCCCCACAGATTTTTTTAGCTCAACTAGGGCTGTGCTAATTGCTGATACCTGTGTCTTGTTTTCTAAAGATGGTGCCTGCGACTGGGCAAGGACTTCTGAAAAACTACTGAGAGGGTTTGCTAATGTTTGGAGTGCTTTAAGGCATTTCGCCGTTTGTTCGCGCTGGGTATCAGATACGGTAAGATTTATTTTTATTGTATTTACTGAAGTGCGAATGATGTCTAGAGCAGTGCCGACATCTACAGCAGTATGTCCAGAATCTTCTACCTCTGATAGTCGTTTTTCCAACTTGTTTATGGATTTGACAATTTCTTCTACTGGTGGAGAGGGCTCTTCAGAAGTATTTGTAACTGACGCGCTCTCAACGGACATAATTGCCCATTTTAGTTTCTTTACTTGCTCAGTTAACTCCCTTTCTTCTGGTGATCCGTTCTCAACTTCAACGTCAAACCTGGCAATAGTGCTTGTTAGCGCGTCAACAGCCTGGCGCACTGACTCATCCCCGGTACTTGTCGCTAGATCTTCGCACTCTCGGATCAACTGAGCCAGGGCAGGTTGAAGTGTTTCGACGTCGGCCACAACTGCCTCGCCGTGCTTTTCGGCTTTTTGTGGTAGCGCGGCTTCCATGGAGGCTTTGCTTTGTATGTTTCCAAGCACTATTTTCGTTTCTTCTTTTAGCCATTGCAATGACTCCGCAACTATGGCCAGGACGCTTAGATCAGATGTGTCAGGATCACTGTCATTACTTTTGTGCAAATCCTGGACCAAACTTTGTATTTTAGCGATTGGCGGGAGTAGAGCCTTTTCTTCTGTTGAGTTAGTTAACTGGGTTTTGACCCTTTCAAGACAGTCTGATAATTCGGTCATTGCAGAGATCAGATGTGGGGATGTTTCCCTTGCAGCCACATTTTGTGGGGGATTTTCGAAGTTCTTTTTCGCGCGATATATCTCGTCACATATTACCTGCAGTGGTTTACCCAATCCTTCTAATGCACTTACAACAGATACCTGTGGGCTAATTTGTGATTGCGACTCCATTGCTGATTTTGCTGTAAGGATATCAGTCTGTATTTCTTTCGCACAAATGTTAATGCCGTCGGCTATTTCATTGGCGCAATGAACTGTTTTTAGTGTCGCTACACTATCTTTAAGCTGAAGTAGTGGAGCTGCTAGGGCTTGCAGTATCTCTTGCGAATTATGACTCTTTACTATTGTTTCAGTAGCGCCACTCGATTGAATCTGTTCAACGACTTTTCTTATATTTTCTACAGATGGCTGTAGAACAGAGACTGATTCAGATAATTGTTCAGACTGTGTTAAGGCATCAGACACTGCAATTAATGTGTCTCGAAGGTCACGAGCCGGTGCTAGTAGTTCATTAGAGGTTTGCTCAGTACTATTTATAGCTTGTGGGGCATTTCGCAACTGCTGTATTCCGTTCCACAAGGCATTCAGGGGAGTGGCGATCATCGCCACTACACTCTCGAGCACTCCACTGTCACTCACATACTGCAGTACGGATGTTGGGAGGTCGTCGTTAGATGATATTGCTGTGCGTACTTCGTTTACTGTTTCGCTCATACTCTCGAGTAAATTAATTGTAGCGCTCGATGCTGAATCTTCTTGTTCATCACACTGTATTTTAGACAACTGATCGCAAAATTCAAAGAGAGACTCGGATATCGTCTGAAGTAAGAGTTCTTCTCTGTCTGTTGCGCTAGGTTTCGATGGGGTGACCATGTCTTCATAAATCAACTTAAGGCTCCATTCAAGCTGTTTGACCGCAGCGGTTAATGCTGTTGCTGCTAATGTATTCCTCTGAGATGAAGGAAGAACTTGTTTTTCCATCCTACAAAGATCAGTAATCAATCTTTGTAGGCAGCCTGTATCTTGCAAACTCGCCATTCCAGACGTATTTTGCGGATGAATCAAATTATTTTCAATTTCCTGCATCCCTGTGCAAATTTTCTGTAAGGCTGTTGCGCTTTCGTATTCGAGAAGTGGGAGAATACGAATTATTTCATTTTGGGCCGAAATTGCAGACCTGGATACGTTCTGCTTAAGAGGCTGAAGGTTTACAGGTGGTGTTGTTCCCTTTGAAATTTTGCCTTTCAAATTCTTAGTCGCATCTGTGAAGTGTTCAACGCATTGGAACAAATTTTCAAGAATTTGGTGTGTATCGTCTATGTCAATTTTTGCTTGTGACTGGAGGTGTGGAATTATTGCTGCCAGTTTTGTTCGATTATCCATTATTTCCGAGAATTTATCGGCTTCGATATTGTCTTCAAGACTCTGAGGCACACTCAGCATCTCCAGAATACTTTTAACCAAACCGAGTAATATATTCTTATCACCACGACTGAGGTCTTTCAAATCTCTGTTCAATGTCTGTATTTTCGAAATAGTTTTTGAATACTCCTTTACGCCTTCATTATTTATAGAATTAAGGTCTGTTCTGATGCTTGTGGCCAAACTGTCGATGTTATTAATCAGTTCTGTCGCTTTCGCGTCGTTTTGCGATGCCCGCGCATTTAGAATTAATTCTGTAATGGCGTAATTGAAATCTTCCATTGGCACTGCCATACTTTCGAGGTGCGCTGTAATGTTTCCAATGCTGATGTCAGCCTTATTTTCTGTGTTAATTTGCTCAATCACGTATGTAATAGTTGATTTAAGTTCTTGTAAACTCAGTCTTATTGGCTCAGCAACTTTCTGCTCTTCGGGGGATAAATCTCCTAGAGTTTTTTGTATAATTTGTAGAGACTTCGCCACTTGTCCGAGTGGTTTACTTAAAACTTCGATGTCAGTTTGTTTCAATTCTCGGCCCGGGTAAACGCGTTGGAGTATGTCACGGGTCCAAAATCCAAGACCCTGCAAAGATTCAGAAAATCCAGAATTGACAGCGTCACAAACAACATTCAATGTTCTTGGGAGGTATTTTTGATCTGGTACTTTCTCCCCGATACTTTGCAATGTAGATTGAACCTTATCAGATGAGCTTGCTAAAACGTTCAAACAAGAAATAGGGCCCAATAGTTCTGGTGTAGGAACTACTGCCTCTTTCAAAAACTTTGCTTGCATTTCTGTGATAAGTTTTGTAATTTCTTGAATCGGTTGGGAGAGGGTGTCAAGAATAGAAACACCGTCTTTCAACGTTAGTGACTCATCAGAATATAAAAATATTTCCTCCTCAATCATTGTTATTCCCCTCTGCAAGTCTTGAATTGGTCTCTGCCACTTTTCTATATTCTGACTTACTGGTTTTGTTGCCAATTCGTGGCCAATTGCCGCCAATGATGTTTTCATATTTGAAAGGGGTTCGATAAGACTTTTTGCAGCTGATGATTTAACCAAAGGAACCATATCGTTCTGAGTAACGATGACGTTTTCGAACTTGTGTAGGCTCTGTAAAAAGTCTCTGAATGGTTGTACCAATTTTTTTACTAACTGAGCAGACGATCTCAATTCTTCAGGTGCATTCTCTAGGTGCAAAAATGCTACTGATATGATCGTCGCTGTACTCATCTGTAGTTCTTGGACAGTTTGTTGCAAGTTTTGGAGTAATGGTAGGCTGCCTTTGTCCGAAATTTGTGTTGGCTCGCACATTTTTGCTACCTCGCTTTGGACTGCTCCTACAAGTTGCTGAAATTCACGCACACATTGGGTCAAGCAGTCCAATGCGGCAATTTGCCCCTCATTGTCTGTAATAATTGGGCTTAAAATAGCAGTCTGAGCTTCTCGTATTTTTGCTTTAAACCCTTCTACGGGTAAAGTAATTTGTGACTTTTTAATGTCTCTATCTGTTTCAGGCACATAGGCGTTGACGATATGCGTCAGGCGTTCATTTTCAAACTCGATTGCTGACAAGATATCTGTGAGTGGCTGCGCAACGGATGACCTCAGAATAGTTATAGGCACGGCTTTCATTTCTTGGCCTGTACTACACACCATCGATAAACCATTGCTCAATTTTTTCAGCGGTGATGATAAACTGTCGAATACGACTTGGCCTCCGAGTGACTGAGGTGTGTCTGTATTAGCAATTGATTTCAATGAATCTAATGTTACTTGTAGTACACATACTGAATCTTGAAGACTCTCCAAATGTGGCAGAAGAATTTCTCCTTGACTCGATTCACTCTTGAATCGAGAGATAACATCTATACTCTTAGAAAAGTCATCAAATGGTGCCTGAAGTGTGCAGAGGTATGATATATCTGAAGAGCTAAAAATAACGTTCTCGATGGATTTCGAGCCGATTACGTTTTTAATTGTATTAATGTGGTTTTTGAGCTCATTAGTGCTGAAAAGGAATTTCTCGATTGCAGTAGACTGAGGCACATTTCCTTGAGCTAAAATGACTTGCGAAGATATGGTCTCTAGGTGCTGGTGAATGTCCTTCAGATTATCTGCCATGCTTGATGTGATACTGCGTTCGAATATTGGGTCACAATCGCTAGTGTCGGACAGTTTTGTTTGAATGACATTCAAAACACTTTTAAATTTGTTGAACAGTGGCTCTAGATTATGCACTGATAAAAATATTGTGTTCCAATCTGGAAATGGCGATTTTATTTGCGCTGCAGACATCGGCAGCAGTCCGATTTTACGTAGACATTCACTCAGAGAATCTTCGATCGCATTCACGTGGGATAAAACAATTTCCTTCGATTTAAGGGAAGAAGATATTTCGAAGCTCTGGAGGTTTGATTTTAGATCTCGAAGTGTGTCACTTATTTCAATGAACTTTGTTGGAGTTAGAGTATTACTTAAGTCCTCTTCGCCTGATTCCATAGCAATTTGAACTTGGGCGCTTCGAACAGTTCGTTGCACATCACACATCGAAGATAAAACAGTGTGGACTATTTCAGCTTGCGGAGACCTCAAATTTGTTAGACTTTCCTCTAGTGCAGAAGAAGTAATGTTCATCTCACTAGATAAAGATGACAGCGCTTTTGACAAATGTGTCAATGCATTGTGCAAACTAGTGGGATTAATATCGCGTTCTAGGTCCGTACATAGCTTTTGTATCAAAAATTCAAGACCAGCTATTGGTTGTATTAAGTTCAAAAATGTCTCTTTGATTTGTCTTGTTGGTACGCCTTCTACACTTTGAGGCGGAATTGTTGAAATAAGCTCGAAAAGCGAGCGCAATGTTAGTGACGTTTGTTTCATGGCTTCCAAGTAGTTTTCACTAGGCACTCCGGTGGGCCCACTGATCTCTGTGTAAACACCCTCCAAGTGAATTAAAGTAGCAATTAACCTTTGCAATGGAGGCACAAGCGATCTCAACAGTGGGTAGTTTGTTGAATTGATATCCGACTTCGGAACGTCTGCCTTTATCTGCGAAACTTCTTTTGTAATTTCAGCTATTGGTTCATCGAGTTCTCGCAAGTTAAGGAACTGTTGTGCTGAAGTTAAAGAAGTTGGAACCTGGAGAGAAGCGAAAACTTTCACGTCATTTAGTGCCTCGCAAACAGAATCTAACTGTGGGAAAAGTGTTTGGAGATCAATGTCTAGTGGCTTAACAAACATCGTCAGGTCACCGGGCTGCAATAGTAGTCCCTGCTGCTTCTCAATTAATTTTGTGCCCAGTTCATGGAACGGATCTTTTAGTGATCCTAGTACCAATGCACCTGTCTTGTCAAGTGGAACTCGCTTCATTGCAAGCCGCCGTATTTGTGAAACGGTGTTTTCAACTTCGTAAGCACATTTGAATAGCGACTGAAGGGTTTCAAGACTTTCAGCAAGTGAAACCTCGTCTGTTTCTTTAGGACGCCTCAGTTGGGTTAAGAGAGATCCTAAATACTTTTCCAGATTTTGCAGAGCGGGTACCAAGGACTCAATTGCAGGAGTCTTTTCTGGCTTAAGAATTTCTTCCGTTGATTTATCAACACAAATATCCTTTGCAGATGTAAGAAGTGCTGCTTTAAGAGTTTTGAGTGAGTTCTGGACTAGCTCTGACACTGTAACTTGCATTGCAGAAGAGGGTGGTCCATTCTCTGGAAAGAATGTCTCTTCAACCTGAAGAAGACTTTTGTTTAGGTTGTTTAATGGGGCTGCCAAGCAGTCTAAAGATCCGATGGAGGGGCTTGGTCCGCTTTCGGTGGTATCTGTCATAACACTTTCACTTGCTTTAGAAACTCCCTGCGCTAAAGCTTCTATTGGCTCAAATAATGTGCAAACTTCGAACAAGTGAAATACCTCTTCCGACTGCTCTGCGGCACATTTTTTCTGAAGAGCTGTTAATCCTCTTTTTAAATTATGCAGAGAAATTTCCAAACCTTGGAGCACCGAAATTTCATAGCTCTGTGGTATCGATTCTAGACTTGCTTCCAAAGAAACCTGCTGCTGTATTTGATTTAATCCACGTTTAAGTCGTCTTATAGGCTTTTCGAGGGCTTCAAGTGTTGATATAGAGCAAAATTCTTGTCCAGATTCCATTATTGCCTGCTGTTCAACCAATGCAATGCCCCTACGTAGTTCATCCATTGGCTGCGAGACAGCTTCTAATATTGATAGACTCTTGCCGTGCTGAACTTTGCCATCGACTTCTAGTATTGCCTGCTGTTCAATAAGTTCTATTTCAGCTTTTAGAACTTGCATCGGGTACAGTAACTTTTCTAATGACGATAACTTCGGCTTGTCAGATAGTATATTTCCCTCATCTACTTGAAGAACGTCGGCTTGGAACTTTTCTAGTGCGTTTAAAAGTTCCGTTACAGGTTCAGCTAGGGTTTGTAAGGAAAGTGATGCTTTTAGTTTTAAATCGACCTCTTCTAGCGATTTGGCTTTCTGCTGTACTTTAATCTTGCTGTCTTCTTCGCTACTGCGGCCACCTGATAGAACAGAGAAGTTTTGTAACTTCTTGGACACTACGTCCTCGCCCATACCCATAGCCGCCCTTTGGTGTATAAGTCCTATTTCCCTCTGAAATTCTTGCATTGGCTGAGAGACGCATTCCATTATTGAATGGGTTGTCCGCTCCAGTAATGTCTCTTCGGTTCCCCCGAGGACAGTCTGCTGCTCAATCAATGCAAGCTTTCGCTGGAATTCCTGTAATGGTTGTGCCAAAGTCTCCAAGATAGACATTTCTGTATGCCCGGAAGGCACCACGGCTTCTTCATCGACCTGACATTCAATCAAACTAAGCCCCTTCTGTATATCTTGTAACGATTGTGACAGATTGCCAAGAATTTTGAAACTCTCTTTGGCAGAATTCTTATCCAAGGACTCGGACACTACTTGACTTTCAACCATAAGTAATCCGTTCTGGATTCTTTGCAAAGAATGTGCGAGAGAGTCTATAACAGAAATCTGATCTGAAGGCAATCCTTTCACATTATCTTTTGCTTGTCCTGGAATGTTGTCATCGTAAATCGTGTCATCTTCTGTCATACTGTTAGAGTCAACCGAAGCTGTCCTACTCCGCCGCAATGTTCCCTCGTCTTTACCTGTAAGGTCGCCTTCTTTCTGCACCTTTGTATGTACGGCCCCACGTTTTTCTTGCAGTTGCGACTTTTCTTCTTTCCTCAATTTTGCGTTGGTTTCGTCGCTATCAGAACCCTTCCGTTTCGACGCTTTCCCGTCTCTGCCACGTGAACCTGAGCTATCTGCCTGGTCTAGGTTTTCTTGAGCGCTCTTGTAGCTCGTGTCCATTTCAAGAGATTGCGCCTTAGCATCAGAATAAGAATCACTCTTTTCTTCTAATGAACGCGATTCTTTGCTTCCAGACTTAGTATCTGCTAGATTTCTGGACTTCCTCGGAGGTCTCGTGGGTGGACTATTCTCCTTATGTGACCCTTGTTTCGCTAATGGCTCGAGAGCTCTGTCGAAAATCTCATCAGAGTCTAGCCTTTCTGATTTATCCTCGTCAGCCTGAGAGACGTCCATTGGAGTGTGAAGTGTTAGCGCCTCATCTGTGATTGAAAATTCGTCCATATCCGCATCCGTGCGTAGGTCCTCTTCACCGGCGGGACCGAAGTAGTCTGGAGAAACGTCCACGAGAACAGCCTCCATAAGAAGATTTCCGGACGTCGAGGATTCTTTCATAAATCGTAGGGGTGGCAACTCAACCACATTATGTTCTGGAACGATATAAAAGAGCATGAACATTAATGGTTTTACAATTATGACAAGTTACCAAAGGCTACTTAACGTGTACACTACCTGATATGTGCTCGCTTAGTTCGTCGGCATACATTTCTACGACTTGTAAGGCTTCCTCCTCTGTCAAATCTGGGGTTTCATACAGTGAAACAGACACCTCCTTACCGTCGAACGAAAAGCTGACTTCTCCCCTTTCATCGAGGGAAAGAGACTGTTCAGCGTCGTACATTTGTGACGTTCGTTCTTCATGAATTGTGGAGAGAGACGGATCTCTAACGATAGGTGGCGGTGCCCGTCCAGCTCCGCTCTTTGAAGAACCGCGCTCTGCAAGACATAATTATAAAGACGTATTTTTATTACAGCTCCGTATTTCAGTAAAACGATGTATTACTTTACGGGCGTACCTTCAAAACCAACGAGAGACGCTGAGCTTGACACCGTCCCCATGCAGTTAGTAGCTTCGCAGGTATAAGTACCCAAGCAACATGTTCCATCCTGCCCGGAAATAATACGATGGATATCGCCCGGCTTTAGTTCCTCTCCGTCTTTGTACCATTTGAGTACGGGTTGTGGTACACCTATGACCTGGCAGAGGCATGAAAATATAATTAGATTTATTTAGAATGGAAAATGCGCAACGAAATTGAATGCAATACATCGTATACCATACCTTACACTCTAAATTCACTGCCCCTTCTTCGGAGAGCACAGCGCGTAAGCACTCAAGGAACCTTGGTTTCTTGAAGTGTTTTGGAATGGTCAGTTTTAAGAAGCAGGATGTAACGCTGTGCCCGAATTCGTTCGTTGCTACGCATTTCCACTCCGCCTGCAAAAAGGTGGAAAGTTACGCGAATGGCCCTGTGTGAATTTTGCTTGTAAATCATTTTTGTGGAAATGTTTTTACCTGATCGTTTATGTCGATTGGTCGTATGTCGAGATGGCAGGTGCCCAGGTTTTCGCGAGTAACTCGGAATTTTTCCCCCTCCACAATTGGGTCGTCGTCGCGGAACCACTCCAGACTGGGCTCAGGAGCCACGCTCACTGTAACGTAAATGGACGATTAATTTTTCTCTGCGTATCTTTGTTTTATAATTTGTTGGTGAATTTTTCGTACCCTGAACAGTAAAGCGGAAGTTGTCACCCACGCGTGCCTCTTGAGAGCGAAGTCCCCTGACGAAGTGAGGAACACTATCACTGGAGAAAAGCGATAACCGTTCTTCCTCACTCAGCTGACTCTGAATGTCTTCTACTGTGAGTTCTGCGGTACTGCTCGCCTCGCCCATGCAGTTTCGAGCTATGCAGCAATAAGAACCTAAAAAGAAAGACATGCGCGTAAGATGCAAAGGCTCGATCTAATCAGTCTTTTCAGCTTATAGGAGTTTTGTATTTGTTGAATTTACCAAGTGAATTAGTTCCCGTCAACTGATAAACATCACCAGGCCGCAATTCTTGACCATCTTTAAACCAACGCAGTTGTGGCGTTGGGAAACCTACAACTTTGCACTCAAACGACACGAGACCCTCTTCTGTCAATATCGCACGCAAGCTCTCCAAGAATCTTGGTTTCCTGTAATTCTTTGGATCTGTAAGGAGAAGAATGTACTGTTTAGCAATTACTATCTTAAAATCGCACTTCAATGCTACGAAAGTACGCAATTGCCCTTACATGTTAAAGTGACTATGGCTGTTGAGATTCCTCGGACACCCTCAAACGACGTGGCGACACATTTCCATTCGCCATCGTCGCACGCCTCGAGGGCCGAGATCTCTACGGAATAGCCGCCTAGTCCGTCTTCCAGAATGCGATATCGGTCCCCTGTTTCGACCCGTCCGTCGCTGTTGTACCACTGGATGCTTTTTGGCCAGGGAGGGACTTGTACTGGATATTATAAAGTGTCAAATAGAGAGGCGTTTCCCGATTTAAGTGAACGAACAAAGTCTGGCAAACGTACCGTGACAGGAAAGGGTGAGTGAATCGCCGATTCTCGCCTTTTCAGGCCGAAGCTCTTCATCAAACGTAGGAGCTGGTCCAGTTGGGAGTAGGCTACAGACACAAGAAGTTATTTAGACAGTTTTACTCGGGCGCTGCATGACATCTGGAGAAGTAAACACTTCCAGAAGTCGGGCCCAGTACGCAACGTTTCTACACATAACGCGCCACTAAGAAGTAATCAGAGGAAAAAAAAAAGGTTTTGTAAAAATTGAAGGCGATTAAGAACTATTACTTTGAGTATTACGCAATTCTGACTTCCGGTGTTTGTTTTTTTCTTCGAGTTGTCTTCATACGCACAGGTGGTGGTTTATATGAGTCGCTTTCAAGTGCACTTACTAGTCTGCTGGTTTGAGTGAGCCCTCTCTGCTGCCGCGGCCCACGACATGCACTCTGGAGGATGAATATGCTCTGCCCATACAGTTGACGGCCTCGCAGGTGTACGTGCCGAGCGAGGTTGGATCTGACGCATCAGCCGTGAGCGCGAATACGTCGCCAGCGCGTATCTCTTTGGCGTCCTTGTACCACCGTAGCGCGGGGGTGGGCACGCCCACCACCTTGCACTCCAGGGACACGGTGCCCTGCTCGGTGAGCAGCGCGCGCAGCTCCTCCAGGAACTCGGGCCCTTTGTAAGCCTTCGGCACTGCGGAAAATTAGGGGTTTTAGCGAAACGGTGTCAAACAAAATGCTCACATTGCTACCTTAGTATACTCACCCAGAACGCTGAGCTGGCATGAGCATGTTGCGCGGCCGGCGTCGTTCTCGGCCACACAGGTCCAGCCGCCGTGGTCCTCCGCCATCACTGGCCCCACGTCCACGCACCAGAAGTTGCCCTCGTTCAGGAAATGGAATCGATCGGTTTCCTTGACCGGTCTGTCGTTTCGGAGCCATGTCACCTATTAACATCAATAATTTTAGTAGAACATTGCTTTTTTGTCATTGTTACAGAAGTAACGGAGGCTGAAACCTGAAATAATCCATTTGTAAGCTATACCAATACGCCACTCGTTACCTACCAAAACAAGGAATATGAAACCGAAAATAATAAGCGACTTGTACTCGTCGAGGCACGAGGCATATTTCCACCCTCCCTGTCTTCAGTGTATACAACACGCAATGTACTATTGCTAGCTCTTGTACACCTCGCTGATGTTACCTTTAGGTTGGAGGGACTGCGGATCTCGACGAGGAACCTGGTGCGGGTGCCGACCTTGACGGCGAGGTCGGCGAGGGTGCGGATGAAGTGCGGCGCGTCGTCGTGCGTGGGGACGGACAGCGAGTCCGACATGGACATCCTGGAGTCGACGCGCAGGTCGTACCCGGCGCGCGACTCTCCCGACGAGTTGGACGCCGTGAGGGTGTAGCGGCCCGAGTCGTCACGGGACACGCGGGTCAGCGACAGTTGCACCGAGTGTCCGTCCTTGCGCGCGATGTGAAAGCGGTCCTCCAGAATCCGCCGGTCGTTGCGGGACCTGCAAAAGGAAATAGCCTGGTTAGTTTAGGAACATACACCTTTTTACTATTTATTATACCAGGTGGTTGACTGCCGTCGCATGCACGGGTGCGGACGCATTTGCCATTCCTCGCTGTCCATGGCTCCTTATGGCCCCATGCAAGTAGGCAACCTGCCCGTACACATCATAACTATGAAGGTGCGCGCTGTGAGGTAGCCCTGGTATTCTGTATACATTGTTTGTTTGTTTTGTTTTTGAGATTGTCATTGCCGAGTATTTGAAACTGATACCACATTGCATGGGGGTCGGCCCGGCGACCCTGCGTTTCTTTGGTATCCGATCGGGTAACCTGGAGCATCATAACAGGGGTCTGCACTCGTGCCAACGACACGCGTGTCTGAGGGCAGGGCCTGGCGCCGCTGGCCCGCCGCCAGACAGAACCTCTGTCACGCAGGACGGCGCGGTCCTGGCGCGGGGGAGGGGCGCAGGCCACGCCGAGGTCTGCACCAGAGCGAGACTCACCGGCCGAGGCCACGGCCTGACCCCGCGTGGACCCAACGTCACCGCCCTTTCACCCTTCCGCGCCGTTTTATTGGGGCTGACGACAAAAGCCTGCTGCTCCGCTATCGCGAGGCGGGAGGGGATTGGAGGTGAGGAACGTGAACGAGATGGAAAGTAAAGGGAAGTTTTCGGTGCCTAAACGCTTAAAAGAGGTGGAGGCTACCCGGACCCGGCCGGAGGCTACGCTTTTTTTCGAACGGGCCTTCCGATCGCCAGCTGTATTCCCCTTAATTAATCGGCACGCCATGTTCGCTTCGTTTTCCTTGGCAGACCGGTCTGATCGAGGGGGAAACGACTGTTAAACTTTGTGTCAGCCGGATTACAGATTACCCGGATTACCTCCGGAGTGTCCTCCGGATTACGTTGCTTTTTCTCTAGGATTACCCCGGATTACCCGCAAAATTTTCCCGGATTACCCCAAAATTCCCCCGGATTACCACGGATTTTTTAGAATTTCCTCGGATTACCCCTGCGGGATTACCTTTCGGCTGTCAGCCGGATTACCTTAGTCGTTTCCCCCTCGGGTCTGATACACTTTATTTTTTTGGTTTATCTGTTGTCTAAGCGTATTGTTCTCTTTGCATTGCAGCCTGTCGAGTCCAGGGCCGAATTACTGCCGGTGACGCCACCCTCATCCCTCCCTTGGCCCCACGCGCTCGCACGCAGTAGGGGTGGCCGGGGGGTGCGGGTACGCAGGCCCCTTCTAGCTGAGTGCTCAAATCTCTGGCCGGATGGAGGATGCCTCATGTAAGTGACTGCCTTATTTGCCTCTATGTCCGTGCCATGTCTATCTATGACCCATCACGAGAGATATACCAACTACGCACGGAGAGAAAAGTCTTGGCCAGACAACAAAACTGAGTTTGGTTTGTTCCTTTTATCAGTACACCTGATCAGTTTTGATGTCAGAGGGAAACCTTTAGACTCTGCACTTTAGTGACAACGCCTAAAAAAAGTTTGGGTAGTACTTTTCTTTCAAATTTGTCCGAACTTTTAGGCGTACGGCCTACGGCCCGAACTTTTCTCTACGTGTACTTTCGAATAAAAAATATTAAGCCATCTGATGCTACGTACACGGCAAAGCAATGTATGATTTTTTGAGGGAAAGGGTAAAACTCTGAGGGGCTCCCATGATTTGAGAGAAACAGCTCAGAAAGGAATTTTAAAAAAACAACAAAAAAACATGCAATTTTTTGGAAAGACAAACACAAAATCGGCGGAGTTTTTGTGAAATTAAAAGAGTTCCCTGAAAGGTTTCCATTAAAAACAGACATGTTTAAAACGTGTCTCGAGTCACTATTTTTCCGAAAAATAATATCTAGGAAGTACTGACTGCGGTGACTCTTTTTCGCGGTTTTCGTATTTTTTCGACAGAGAATAATTAACTGCGTTTACCACATTAACACAATGCCACATTTGCTGTCTATTCGCTGTGCGTTGTCGAGTTTTTTAGGAACATTGTTATGTAACCCGAAGGGCCACCCCGTCTACCCTGCCCGCACCTCGTGGGGCCTTTGCCAGGAGGCCGTCACGCCCGCCGAGAGACGGATGGCAATTGTGCGCTTATCATTCATCGGACTGTTATCCTCGGTCCTCCCGGCTCCTCCCCGTTCGCGCCACGCCACGCAGCTCAGAAGGGGTGGCATTGCAAAGCAAGTGCGAAAACTGGCGATTCCATTTACACCTTTAGACTGATCGCACCCCAGAGGAAAAAAGCAAATTGTAATCCTGCACAAGGGGTTGTTTCTTTCTGTGAGGTCTGTTTTTTTCCAACCCCGCGTGCGCGTTCATAAATCAACCGTCTAAAAATACGGCCTGAAATATTGGCAGTCGTTGGACGCGGGCCCCTCGCTGATTCGACTCTGAGCTGCAAACGTGTTGCCTGCAGCCGAATGACGTGTCGACAGAGGCGAAAATACTCTAGCAAGGCTTCCCTCTGCCTGTCCGGAGGATAAACAGTTGATGTAAGGCGGAGTGGGTGCTGAGGTCCCTGCCGTATTCTCTACAATGCGCAGGGGCCACTAAATACAAGCGCCAGGAGTTTTCCGTACCAGGGTTCCCGGGAGGTTTTGATCGGATTGGACCCCTGTGCGCTTGCCGACCAGCCCCGTGCGTGACCAGTGTGCAAAACTACCCTGGCATTGTAGACTTTTTCTAGCCCGATTGTTAGTCGGACGCTGACCCAGAGGCACGCAGCTTTCTAATTTTCTACTAAATTCTCTCTTTCGACTTCGCGCGCTGTCGACTCGTCACTGGCGATTGAGGAAGACAGCAATATATTGGTGCGGTCATCAGAGCGGACTGTGCCGTTGCAGAGGGCGGAACGCGTGACCGGGTTCCTTTGCTTCGCCTGTCTGCTCCCCCGGCCGGTGTGGCTGCCCCTCCGCCCCACCCCACGCACCGCGCGCGCTCGGCTATTCCCGACTTCCTTGGCCAAGGTTAGGCCAGAGAAATAACTAACCATCGCTGCATTCTGAGACGGTGTGACAGAGAGGGACAGGAGGGGGACGTTCGTTGCCGTGAGCGAGACTGAGAAGGAGAGAAGGGAGTGAGAGTTGCGGAAGGGTTGAGCAGCGAGAGGGCGACGGGGAGGAGCTCTGCCCCTGCGCCAACGACATTGGCCTTATTTTCTTTGGCTTTGACAGTTTGCAACTGCAATCGAAAAGAAGAGAAACATCCCCCAATAAACTCCTGTTTCCGGTATCCCATAGGAATAAAGATTTAGATGTTGGCGATCAATTTCATAAGTAAAACTGTAGACTTTGTAAGCTACAGACGCGTTTTTCCCGCATCGACATGCTCTGTGGTCCTTACTTTGGCTGTGGCCTATACTTTTGGCGGACATCTCTGTTGTTGTTGTTGCGTGTTCCTGCCGCCCAGCTTCCTCATCGCCTCAGTGGGATGGCTGTGCTGCAGGGCGCACGCGGGCGCCTGGGCCGTGGAGTATGGCTTTAGCTAGAAATAGGCAAGCTTGGCCGGGGGAGCGCCTTCTGTTTGTGTGCCAAGGAGGCGCGGGGTGCCCGGCCGGCGCGGTAGGCCAGCTCGAAACATAACGCGCTGTGACCTCAAGCCGCGGCTCACATAACTTAAAAACGTTTTCTCTGTTGCAATATTTTCAATTTTAATTTGGGTTCGATCGCCTGAGGACTCACCCCTTGGATGAGGCCGAGGAGCTGGCCGAGCCCGCCGCCTTGCCGTCCGCACACTGAGACTTGCAGCACGAGCTGCCCATGCCTCAGACACATAGCACACCCCGCTGCACGGCTGGGCGCGGCGGGGCGCGGCCTGTTGCGGGGCGGGGCGTGGCGGAGCGGGCCGGTTGTGCCGGTGTGCGTGAGGTGCGCCACTTGAACACTCTGATGCACTTCACTGTTGCTGCACCTCTCACTGCACAGATGCACTGTGTGCGCGCATGGCTGGCCGGCGCGGGCGGCCCGTCGTGGGGACGTGCGGCGGACGGTCGGGTCGGGCCGGTCGGCGACGACGACGGCGGGGAGGGTGGGGAGCGTCTTGTTCGTGTCTGGGGGAGCTCGGGAGCGCGGCGCGGCTGCTCCCGGGGCGGAGCGGAGCGAACTGACAGATTCCCGCGCCCTGGGCTGCTGGCCCCGCGCGCATTCAACGCGGACCATAGCGCCCGTGCAAGACGGCCTCCTCTCTTTCTCTTTCTCGGGGCGGGAGCCGCGTCCTTGTCGCACAGCCGGGCCCCTCCCTCCCACACCAGGGTGGTGGGTGCTCGACGGGGTATTTTTGTCGTTGAGAAAGACGTGCGGGGAGGATGCCGATTAAAACACAGACACACACATACACACTCACACACATATACAGCCGGGCGCCGGCTCGCCCCTGACGTTGTGACCCGCGTGGTACTCTGACCGGGAGAGGGGAAAAGGAGGGGGGCGGGGGTTTGAAGCAACAACGCCATTCAGCCGGGTAAAACAAAGCTATGGTGCACATTCGTCAATCTAAGATGACGCGACATATTGCGTTCCAAGTGTTTGAATTTGAACGATGCACTACACCCCCATTTGATCCTTTTATATGGGAGGATTCGCTCCTTAGGGATCGTCCAGCAGAAATTTCGCCCGTCTTCCTTTGATGCATCCTGAACGACGGAAGCTTGGCGCCTGCGAGACTCGGGGTAGGCCACCCCGCAGTGCACGCATGCATTACTGGCACGATGTGGCCTACCTACCAGGCGCTATGAGAGCATGCATCTGCAGAACTGCTCCATATCTCATATTGCCGAATGACAGGCGTTTATTTTCTGTATAATCCCTACATAGCGATTACCATGGACAGTTCCGAACAATCATTATACATTTTCCTCGATTGCGTCTGAATTCCGACAGTTGTTAGAGGATAAGTTGGGTCCCCGCGCTGCTCCCGCAGCCCGCGGCTCCTCTGGCTTTGACGGCCGGGCCCCCACGGCCCTGCCCTTGCTCCTCACGCATACCTTGTTGTGTTGCGCTGATGTCAACTCGATGGCCGCTCATAAAGACGCGGTGGCGTCGCGTTGCGTATCGCGGCAGCTCCTTGGCGGCGTTCCCCCTCTGGCGCGTCGGGGGCGGCGGGGTCGGCGGGGGCGGCGGGGGCGGCACCGCAATCACGCGTCAGGCTCCGGCGCGCCGATTGGTCCGCGCATCGGGCTGGAAGCAATAGGGGTCGGCGGGGCGGACGGGACGCGAGGCGCGACGGGACGCCGCGGACTGGCGGCCATCCCCCCCGGGGGCCCGGCGGGCGGCCGGCGCGCCGCCCCGGCTGCCACGGTCCCTGAGAACGACCGCCGCCCCTCACCTTTCCCTCCTCCTCACCTCCCCCCGTCCGGCCGCGACAAGCCACTTGGCTGGCCGCCTCAACTATCAATAGCGGATTAATTGCGCGATCTCGTGGGCCCGACAGCGTCCAGCCTGCGTCGCACCGCGGCGGCGCGCGCCACCCCAGACACATGGTCATGCGCGGCTTCTGCGCCGGCGGGGGCCACTCCCACGGCACGAGGTCGGGACGGGATTCCGCGCGAGGGGTTTCGGAGGTTTCGGCGGGGATGGCTTTTTAGCAGATGATGCCTTTAATACTTTCACTGATTATAAAGAATACATAAGTAACTTTAAGGTGTCAGCTAGCTTTAACTCTCGATAAGCAGGGAAGTGAACTAAGAGCAAAACCAGAAATCACCTGTTTGTGCGCCGGGGGTATGGTGTCCGGCTGGCTGAGTGTCGCGCCAAGCCCCTTCCTTGCCTCCTTCCTTTCCTTGCCCTGCCTAACAATATGGTCCGGGATGGGCTCCTTCCTTGCCCAACAATACTGGGCCGCCGCCGCCAGCCGTCCTGCCCCTCCCCGTATACGTCCTCCTCTACGCCACTAGGCCGCCGAATTGCAAGATTGCAAGCAACCAAACAAATTGCAGCTAATGAGAAAAAATAAGAACATAGCTATATTCATAAATTTGTATCATCTGCTTTCAAGATCGATTCTTGATTGGGATTTTTTATGTGACGACCCTAAGCACAGTGGCGTAGGGGGAGGGGGGGGGGTGAGGGATTGGGGATTTCGCACGGTAACATCTCTACGCCACTGCACTGTCTTACCGCACAGGTGCGATGAGTTTTTTTTGGAAGAGGGGGGCGCCTCTCCCGTCCCTGTTGCAGCTCTAGATAGTTGCCTGAGGGTAGGCAATTTAAGTCACGAAACCACTGTCTGTAGGAAACCTTCTCTACGCCGCCTCCTCTCTTGGCCGGCCCTCAGTGTACTGTACACTCCTGTGCCGTGCCGACCTCCTGATCCCCGAGCACCTGTTCTCTCCTTGTTCACACACCACCACAGACCCCCTCCCCTACCCCGTATTCCACACTCGCGAAACGGCAAATCATGGGCGGCGCATCTATTTCGCTCTTGTTTCGGTCGCTCGAGCCAATTGTGTTGAACGTGACTTAGCACTCGGCTGCAGCGTAAACTACTGCAACCAGCTTCCCAAGTAAGTCGATCCTAGCCCGGCAGTCAGGTCGGGAAAGCGCTGCGGTCCATCGTCCGCACGTCAGGGGTCCGCAGTTTCCTCTCTTTTTCGACCTAGCTTTTTCCCCCGCTGGTGTTCTCGCCCCCTCCCCTCGACACACTCACGTGCTACGCGTGTTCGCCCCCCC